ATTCCTGATCCTCCACGGACGGGTTCGTCGTTGGATCGCCAACCTGGAGGGGGAGGATTTGCCATTGAACTTCTGGCAAGAGAAAAAACACGTAATATGTAGCCAAAGCCAGTTCTTTGACAAACATGGATGCTTCCAGTAAAGCACATTCAAATGAAATTGACTCTTTATTAAAAACACTTATCATTTATTTAACAGTAATGTTATTTTTAAAGTATGTTCAGAAGTGTGAAAAAAATTAAGACAATACATGGGCACATTTACATCCTAATTGCACGGTTAGAAATAAAGGAACAATGAGAGAGCCATATAACAGAAAGTTTGTATGCTTTTTCCTTTGGGTTTAATCCAAAAATCTATTGTAAACTAGTTATTTAAATATTTTCCTAAAAGTTAGACAAAGCCATTTTTCACACTTTGCTGATGGTGCCGTTCAATTACATAAATTAAATCAGAGACACCCGAGCACAAGGATGATGTAGAAAGAGCAAGGAGCTGCTGTGTGCAACCAGAGCTGGTGGAGAAAAGTCTGTTAGAGTTTAGCGCACAGCAGACATGTACTGAGCATGCACGAGATTTAAAAGCTGCAGACCCGTCTCACTGCGAACCACCTCCTAAATCTTCTACTAGTTCATAGTACTGGACCGTTCCAGTTTCCTTTCACTCCTAGGAATAGCGCTATAAATTAGATAACAGTTCATAAAGTTGAATAAAATTCTATTATTCTTTCGAAAAGAATAATTTCCTTACATTTCTTTGTGCCAAATTCAACACTTTGACTATTTTTCCAATGGATTGCAATAGTTTGTTTTTGTTTTTTGCTTCTTTTTTGGTGTGTATAAGGTCACAAATCCATCATATATGGTTTATCCATTAGGTTTCCAAAAGGTCACCAATGTTTTCAAATCCAGCGTCTTTCATGACAGACAGAGATCGAAACTCAAAAGAACAAAATTCTGCAGCTTGGCTGTACTGTTCTGGAACTCTCTACCACTCTTACTTAGAAAAAAGGAATCAGTTCTCCATTTCAAAACATACCTCAAAACTCATCTGTTTAAAATTGCCTATTCTCTCTAATATTAATCTCCCTGTCCCAGCCTTTGTATGTTTTATTGATTTTATCATGTGTTTTGACTTTGTTTCTCTCCTTGTGTTTTTATCTTTTGTACGGTGACCTTGAGTGTCCAGAAAGGTGCCTTTGAAAGAAAATATATTATTATTATTATTATTACCATCTTCAGCCCTCCTGTTTTCTCCTGAAAGTCCTGCTCTCTCTCGCTGTCTCTGAGCCTGGGGGAACCAGACACGCGCCTTTCAGAAAATATTTCCTAACACATTGATAGGATGAAAAGCGGATGCCTCTTAGGCTACGTTCACACTGCAGCCTGAAGTGACCCAATTCCGATTTTTTTGCCCATATGTGACCTGTATCTGATCTTTTTATGACA